GGTAACACAGTAATAGTAGGGGACTTTAACACCACACTTTCACCAATGGACAGATCATCCAAAATGAAAATAAATAAGGAAACACAAGCTTTAAATGACACGTTAAACAGGATGAACTTAATAAATACTTACAGGACATTCCATCCAGAAACAACAGAATACACTTTCTTCTCAAGTGCTCATGGTAAATTCTTCAGGATAGACCATATCTTGGGTCACAAATCAAGCCTTGGTAAATTTAAGAAAATTGAAATCATATCAAGTATCTTTTCCAACCACAACACTATGAGACTAGATACCAATTACAGGAAAAAAGCTGTAAAGTACAAACACATGGAGGCTAAACAATACACTACTAAATAACCAAGAGATCACTAAACAAATCAAAGAGGAAATCAAAAAATACCTAGAAACAAATGACAATGAAAACATGATGACCCAAAATCTATGGGATGCAGCAAAAGCAGTTCTAAGAGGGACGTTTATAGCAATACAATCCTACCTCAAGAAACAAGAATAATTTGAAACACCCTAACCTTATGCCTAAAGCAATTAGAGAAAAAGAACAAAAAAAACAAAAGTTAGCAGAAGGAAAGAAATCATAAAAATCAGATAAGAAATAAATGAAAAAGAAATGAAGGAAAAGACAGCAAAGATCAATAAAACTAAAAGCTGGTTCTTTGAGAAGATAAACAAAATTGATAAACCATTAGCCAGACTCATCAAGAAAATAGGGAAAAGACTCAAATCAACAGAATTAGAAATGAAAAAGACGTAACAACTGACACTGCAGAAATACAAAGGATCATGAGAGATTACTACAAGCAACTCTATGCCAATAAAATGGACAACCTGGAAAAAATGCACAAATTATTAGAAAAGCACAACCTTCCAAGACAGAACCAGGAAGAAATAGAAAATATAAACAGACCAACCACAAGCACTGAAATTGAAACTGTGATTAAAAATCTTCCAACAAACAAAAGCCCAGGACCAGATGGCTTCACAGGTGAATTCTATCAAACATTTAGAAGAGCTAGCAGCTATCCTTCTCAAACTCTTCCAAAATATAGCAGAGGGAGGAACACTCCCAAACTCATTCTGCAAGGCCACCATCACCCTGATACCAAAACCAGACAAAGATGTCACAAGAAAGGAAAACTACAGGCCAATATCTCTGATGAGCACAAATGCAAAAATCCTCAACGAAATACTAGCAAACAGAATCCAACAGCACATTAAAAGGATTATACACCATGATCAAGTGAGGTTTATCCCAGGAATGCAAGGATTCTTCAATATATGGAAATCAATCAATGTGATACACCATGTTAACAAATTGAAGGATAAAAGCCATATGATAATCTCAGTAGATGCAGAAAAAGCTTTTGAGAAAATTGAACACCCATTTGTGATAAAAAACTCTCCAGAAAATGGGCATAGAGGGAACCTACTTCAACATAATAAAGGCCATATATGACAAACCCACAGCAAGCATCATACTTAATGGTGAAAAACTGAAAACATTTCCTCTAAGATCAGGAACAAGACAAGGTTGCCCACTCTCACCACTATTATTCAACATAGTTTTGGAAGTTTTAGCCACAGCAATCAGAGAAGAAAAAGAAATAAAAGTAATCCAAATAGGAAATAAAGAAGTAAAACTGTCACTGTTTTCAGATTTTATTATACTATACATAGAGAATCCTAAAGATGCCACCAGAAAACTACCAGAGCTAATCAATGAATTTGGTAGAGTAGCAGGATACAAAATTAATGCACAGAAATCTCTTGCATTCCTATACACTAATGATGAAAAATCTGAAAGAGAAATTAAGGAAACACTCCCATTTACCATTGCAACAAAAAGAATAAAATACCTAGGAGTAAACCTACCTAAGGAGACAAAAGACCTGTATGCAGAAAACTATAAGACACTGATAAAAGAAATTAAAGATGATACAAACAAGATGGAAAGATATACCATGTTCTTGAATTGGAAGAATCAATATTGTGAAAATGACTGTACTACCCAAAGCAGTCTACAGATTCAGTGTAATCCCTATCAAACTACCAATGGCATTTTTCACAGAACTAGAACAAAAAAGTTGCACAATTTGTATGGAAACACAAAAGACCCTGAATAGCCAAAGCAATCTTGAGAAAGAAAAACGGAGCTGGAGGAATCAGGCTCCCGGACTTCAGACTATACTACAAAGTTACAGTAATCAAGCCAGTATGGTACTGGCACAAAAACAGAAATATAGATCAATGGAACAGGATAGAAAGCCCAGAGATAAACTGACACACATGTGGTCACCTTACCTTTGTTAAAGGAGGCAAGAATATACAATGGAGAAAAGAAAGCCTCTTCAATAAGTGGTGCTTGGAAAACTGGACAGCTACATGTAAAAGAATTGAACTAGAACACTCCCTAACACCATACACAAAAATAAACTCAAAATGGATTAAAGATCTAAATGTACGGCCAGACACTATAAAACTCTTAGAGGAAAACATAGGCAGAAACTCTGTGACGTAAATCATAGCAAGATCTTTTTTGACCCACCTAGAGAAATGGAAATCAAAACAAAAATAAATAAATGGGACCTAATGAAACTTAAAAGCTTTTGCACAGCAAAGGAAACCATAAAAAAAAGACCAAAAGACATCCCTCAGAATGGGAGAAAATATTTGCAAATGAAGCAACTGGCAAAAGTTTAATCTCCAAAATTTACAAGCAGCTCATGCAGCTCAATATCAGAAAAACAAACAACCCAATCCAAAAATGGGCAGAAGACCTAAATCGACGTTTCTCCAAAGAAGATATACAGATTGCCAACAAACTCATGAAAAGATGCTCAACATCAGTAATCATTAGAGAAATGCAAATCAAAACTACAATGAGGTATCACCTCACACCAGTCAGAATGGCCATCATGAAAAACTCTACAAACAATAAATGCTGGAGAGGGTGTGGAGAAAAGGGAACCCTCTTGCACTGTTGGTGGGAATGTAAACTGATACACCCACTATGGAGAGCAGTATGGAGGTTCCTTAAAAAACTAAAAATAGAACTACCATATGACCCAGCAATCCCACTACTGGGCATATACCCTGAGAAAACCATAATTCAAAAAGAGTCATGTACCACAATGTTCATTGCAGCACTATTTACAATAGCCAGGACATGGAAGCAACCTAAATGTCCATCAGCAGATGAATGGATAAAGAAGATGTGGCACATATATACAATGGAATATTACTCAGCCATAAAAGGAAACGAAATTGGGTTATTTGTAGGTGAGGTGGATGGACCTAGAGTCTGTCATACAGAGTGAAGTAAGTCAGAAAGAGAAAAACAAATACTGTATGCTAACATATAAATGGAATCTAAAAATAACTGGTTCTGATGAATCTAGGGCCAGGACAGGAATAAAGACACAGACAAAGCGAATGGACTTCAGGACACGGAGAGGGGGAAGGATAAGCTGGGACGAAGTGAGAGAATAGCATTGATATATATACACTACCAAATGTAAAATAGATAGCTAGTGGGAAGCAGCTACATAGCACCGGGAGAGCAGCTCAGTGCTTTGCGACCATCTAGAGGGGTGGGATAAGGAGGGTGGGAGGGAGATGCAAGAGGGAGGGGATATGGGGACATGTGTATGCATATAGCTGATTCACTTTGTTATACAGCAGAAACTAATACAACATTGTAAAGCAATTATACTCCAATAAAGATGCCAAAAAAAAAAAAAAGATAATACTGAAATAAAAAAAAAAAAAAAAAAAAAGAAAGGGTGTGAGAATTCCCTGGTGGTCCAGTGGTTAGGACTCGGTGCTTTCACTGCCCGGGGCCCGGGATCAACCTGGTTGGGGAGTCAGGGAACTAAGATCCCACAAGCCGCCCAGCTTGGCCAAAAAGGAAAAAGAAAAAAGAAATGGCATAATGTGGCATATGCTTTTGGCTGACTGCTCAAAAGCTATTCCTTCCTTCTTCTTTGAAAAGAAAATGCAAATTTTCTTCAGCTATCAAACAACAGTGTGTTCTAGGAAAACGGATTCTATGAAATGGGCTGGAATTAGTCTACGGCAACCATGGTAGTCCAATTCACCTTTCATTCATTTGGCAAATATTTAATGAGCTCCTGCTACGTGTCAGTCTGTTCTAAGTGCTGACTATCTTTGCCAGTTATAAGCATGGGGTGGACATGTGGTGCAATTCCAGACAGTGAGGGGCAAGGGGAAGACTGCTGGTGGGCTTCTGGGAAAGGCTTTTCCTCCCTAAAACAATAAAATGAGAGTTGCCTGAAGAGAAAGGCAGGGCTTTCCTTCCTGTGTCCGGATGGTGGGTGGTGTTATGTGGGATGTGGTACTTGGAACTGGAGTAGTAATCTTGCGACCACGAAAAGAAAGAGAAGAGAATCTCAGGGAGGATGACACAGAGCTCTGGCCTAGTTAGGTGGTCAAATTACCCAAACCTGGAATCCCCTACATTTCTTATATGAGAAAATAGAAAGCCTGATAAGACACTTTCAGTTGGATATTCACTCACTTGTAGCCAAAATCATCCTAACAAATAGGCATGGTTTTGTTGGCGTTGTTCGTTTTGGATTAGAATGAGTGAATATTTTAATAAATGGATGAAGACTCTGATATCTTTTTATTTTCCTCTCAGCTGTCCTGTTTGATCGTGGAGGATTTTATATCCCAGACATCTTTATGGATAAAAATCATTTTCTTTGATCTGTCTCCTCCTTTGGCCACTGGAAGCTGACATGTTTGGCAGCAAAGCCACATTCTCTTCTAGGTCCCCTAGATGTGTGCCCCTTGGGGAGCACTCCGTTATGAGGGTGTTTGGGTTTTTTAATGTGGAAGAGGCATCTTCTCATTTGAAGAATCATCTTTCTTTCTGTGAACTTGATAGGCAGGTTCATTCCTCCCTGCCTCCCCACCCAACCTCTCTCTCTCTCTCTCTCCTTCTTTTACCACAGATGAACTGGGCTGTGAACTGTACTCTCTTTGACCTGTGAGATTTTTGGAGGCTCCTTGAATCTTGTTCAAACATGAACCTGGCAAACTCCATGTTCTAATTCAAATCTTCCTGACTGAACTCAGTGGAACTCCAGCTAAGGAATTAAGTTGGTAAGCCAATGATATTTGAAATGAATAACGGAGATATTTGGGGATAAGCTTTAATTTTGGAATAAGTATGTCAAAGAGCTTTTGCTGGAACGATTTGGCATAAAGTTGCAAATATTTAAGGTGCCACTTGGCTTCTCACTGTCTTGATGATGCCAGTACAGGGGATATCTTTCCCATGCACTGTGAGATTTGGGTGCTAATGCCTATTTGATCTCATTATTACATTGTTGATCTAAAAGATCATCATCACCCTTTGGGGATTTTCATGTCTGCCCATTTCTTATGTCATTGGTTGTTTTGACTAATAACTATAAGTCAAGGGAGAAGTGTGGCATTGGTTAGGGTACTGACAGGAAATAGATGGCAGAAGTAATTAAGACAATTTAATGAAAGGACTCTACAAAGATTTGAGGAGTTTTAAGGGAAATCAAGAATGGTAGTGAAACACTGGGGCTAATAAGTGTTACTACCTCTAGGATTAGAATAGGTCAAGGAGAGGAAGAGGTTACTGAAAGCTGGAGAGACTTATAGCTGTGGAAAGGGCCTCCTGACAGAGGCTGTGGCCTTGGCTAGAAGAACATAGTCACTGTCAAACCATGACTCTGGATGGACGTAGACTGGGAAAAAATACCCTGATCTTACTCTACTCTTATCCTCTGATCTCCTGCTAGTGACTCTCATTGGCTAAACCCCAGCAGAAGTCAGGGGGCAAAGGAGCCTGGTTGAGGTATCTGTAACGTCACCCTCCTTGGCCACAGAGTCGGGTAGAAAAGGATGCCGAGTGGATGTGGAAGGACAAATAGGACTATCCATTTGTGTGCCTTCATTTTCCTTGTCAATAACTTTAGAATCAGTTAGTAGGTAGGCAGATCCTAGACCCATTCTTTAATCTATATGCCTTTATTGCTTAGGGTATAGGCTAGGCTCTATAATAAGAGATCCCCAACACTGTGACTTAATCAAGATGTAACTTTATTTCTCTATCAGGTATAGTCCTGTATAGAGGGCCAGGGTTGGTGGAATGACTTGATGGTGCTGAGTGCTTTGGTAGATTATTAGTTCTGCGGAAAAAAGTATTGCCAGTCTTCTTCCTCTGGAAGTAAGGAAGAAATGTGCTCTTCTGCCCCCTTGGGGTTAGTTGTGGTCATGCAACTTGCTTTGGCCAGTGAAATGTGAGTGTAAGTTGTGTCAGAGAAGCACTTAGTTGCCAGCGCAAGGCTTTCGCACTCCTTTCCCTGTTCACTGAAATTTGTGGAAGCACTACTGATATGAAGGACAGCCATCCTGAAGAGTTTCTCAGAGCTGCAGCAGATTTGTGGAAGTGAGAAGTAAAGCATTGCTTTTTAGGCCACTGAAATCAGAAGTTGGTTGTTAGTGCAGCTAAACCTGCTATTTCCTGACTAATACAGAGACCCAGGCTCTTTCTGTTTTGTTGCCCTCCAGCACGTAAGGGATTGCGGTCATCTGCATGATATGAGACAACCAATTACCATAGTCACATTCTAGCTCATGGGAAGTGGGAAGGAGAAACAAGAGAGCACACTTAGTTTTTTAGGGACATGACCTGGAAGTAGCACACATCACTTCACTGACCACATACAGAGCTTTAGTTATCTATTGCTGGCTAACACATTATCCCAAAGCTTAGCAGATTAAAACAACAGACCTTTATTCTATCAAACCATTTCAGGAGCAGCTTAGCTGAGTGGTTGTGGCTCAGGGGCTGCAGTTGACTGAAAGCTAGACAGGGGCTGGAGGACGCACTTCCAAGTGCACTCACAGGGTTCTTGGCAGACCTCTTTCCTCACTGGCTGTTTTCAAGGGCCTTAGTTCCTTGCCACGTGGACCTCTCCACATGGCAGCTGCCTTTCCCTGGAGCAACTAACCCCAGAGAGAGAGAGAGAGAAGCTGCAGTGTCTTTTAGAAACTAATCTCAGAAGTGACACATCATCATTTCTGCTTTTTTTACTGGGTCACTCAGACCAACCCCTGTTCAGTGTGGGAAGGACCTATGCACATGTGTGAATACCAGAAGGCAGAGCTCATTGGAGGCTGGCTATAAAACCTAACTATATGGGAAGTGAGCAAATTTAGTCTTTAGCTGGGCAGCCATTCTCCTCAGATAAAATTACAGGAAGAAAGAGAGAAGGGCTAAGGGGACAACCAGAATTCTCTGCCTCAGCTCTCCCCCTCTGGAGAAAGGGGACATAATATATATATATATATATATATATATATATATATATATATATATATACAGTTTTTCTCATACATGAACACACATTCTGTATCTTGAAAAGATTCTAAGCTTCTGGATTATGGTTCCTATGCTATGCCCCGAGGATTCTTATCCTCAGCATCACTATCCCCAGAAACTTGCCTTCTTCACTCCCAGGCAATGCCAAATTCCAAAGTAGAAACCTTTTTTTTTAAAAAAAAGGGGTGGGGAGAGGAAGCCTCCATCTGGGAGAAAGAGAAAGAAAATCCTTCTGCATTGCTCATCTGGAATTCCAAGGATGAGTCATAGGAACTGTGAGTCAGTTTGTCATTGTATCTGGGTAGTTGGATGAGTTACATAAATTGAGATTCAAGTCCAATATTTCTCATATTTTTCTTTCTTTTTTTTTTTTTTTTTTTGCGGTACATGGGCCTCTCACTGTTGTAGCCTCTCCCGTTGCGGAGCACAGGCTCCGGACGCGCAGGCTCAGCGGCCATGGCTCACGGGCTCTCCGCAGCATGTGGGATCTTCCCGGACCAGGGCGCGAACCCGCGTCCCCTGCATCGGCAGGCGGACTCTCAACCACTGCGCCACCAGGGAAGCCCTCTCATATTTTTCTAAGTTTAGGTGGTGAACTCTTACAAGAAGCCACATTGAAATTTATGTTTACAGGAGTACATCCCCAGTGCAGCAGTGCTGAAATATTTGTCAGAATACAGCTGATGGTGAAGCTGAAGGGAGAGGCTCTCTAGAAACCTTTGCTTCTTCATGCCTATAATTGTTCATAGAGACCACACCATCAAAGCACCAGCCTTCTGAAAACCAAGAAATCTTATTGTCCTTCCTTGTCAACATAAACAGTGGCTCATGTCCTGCATCTCTGCCTGACTTATGTGTACTCCACTACCTCCTAGTACTTCCATCATGGGATGAGAATATGAAGTTTTAAATTATACCATTATTATTGCTAGTTACTTTGACATTGAGTTTGGGCAGGGATACATTTGAAACGATGTGAGGTTTTAAAATGACCCTTTAGTGGACAGTGGAATATGTGAACAAGATTTCTACATGGAGATGGCCAGGGTTGAGGGAGAGTAGCCAGATGTCCCCAGGAAGGTAACAAAATCATATCTACCATATGTTTGCACTTAATTCAAAACAGTATGTACTTAATATCCATATATTATCTGCCTGTTAGTAATCATCTTTTCCATTAATATGGAAAAATAATCTTTTTTCACAAGTCCCCAGCGATTGAGAAATGTCTGGTACTCTGTCCAGTTACTTTCAGGGTTTGTTGGCCTATGTATTCCTGGCTCTCTTCTACTCTAAGTTCCTGCTTCTCCTGGATTCATAATTCCCCTAGTGGCCAATACTCCTCCTTCCACACACTCCTCTCTTCCTTTCTTCACTCTCCCATTAGTTAGGATTCTTTTTGCTGCAAATGACAGACACACCAAGAAGGGAATTCACTAGTTCACAGAGCTAGGAAGGCTGGGATGGCCTGAGGGAAGAGTGGACCTAGCTGCTGTCTGTCTGTCTCTCTCTCTCTTTCTCTAACTTCCATCTCTGCTTGCCTCCATTCTCTCTCATTACAGTGTAACCTTCTCTACATGGCTGGGTAGATGGCTGCCTGCAACCCCAGGCCTCCACCCTCACAACTCTCCATGCACGAGGTTAATAGAGAACTGCCCCTCCCGGTCCAGTTGGGAAAACTCTGGTGAGGGATTTTGATTGGCTCAGCTTAGGTCAAGAGCCCATACCTTGGTTCAGTCCCTGTGTGTGAAGGGAGGTGGCTTTGTGATTGGCCAGTCTGGGTCGTGTGTCTAATTCTGAGTAGAGTGGGGAACCTGGGACACTGTGATTAACTGCTCTACCAGGACCACATGAAGTGGGTGGTGTTCCCCAAATGTAAAGGGGTGCTGTTACCCCTTTATAAGAAGAGAGCAGACAGAAGCAGAGCTTCTGCTGTCCACTGTGGGCCACAAATGTGGCCCAAGCAGCTCCTTTCCCGGCTCCCAAAGCATCACCAGTGCAAGGCTATTTTGTGCAATAGTGCTTTCCTAAAGGTAGAAGATGACAAAGAGCAGTGACTGAATGGCAACAGTGGACCAGCATCGTACAGGTGTTCATTTAAAATGAATATTTGACATTTTGAAGTCTCTGAGCCAAATCCACCAGTCTTCTGGGTCAGCAGACTTGTTGCTGGAGCCTGCATGCCCATACCAGATCATTCTTCTCCTTCGCTCCTCTCAGTGCCTGAGGGCCCCAGCTAGCCTCCTACCTGAGCATCCATGGGACACAGTCCCAAGTTCCTGCTACTTTATTGTGCACAGCCACTGAATTCTTCATTTTTTTTTTCTCCTTCTAGACCTGTGTTTTATAGCCAACAACACTCATCAGGACGCTTTCATAAACAAAAGAGCAGATTCTCCCTTAGGAAGAATCTTTCTAAGGATATTGTGATTCATAATAAGAAATACATATGTTTGCTCTTCATCTTACTCCTGGTGCACAGCTCCTAAAACCCTTGTAATTTCCTAAGTGATAAGAGTAATGTGAGCATCTTTTGTTACAGTATTTGGTCTTTTGCCCTCAAATAGTTCCAATTTCTGAAGTAGCTCCAGAGTGAGAAAGGTGAAGGGAGCATCTTGTTATTCATTAACAAGCCCCTTTCAACCACACCTGAATTTATGTTATGGAGGTGATTTTTGGAAAGCCCCTGGATAACCACTGGATGGGGACTGGTCACTGGGGGAACCAATCAGTTGATTAGAGGGTTGGAACTTTCAGCCCCACCCCTCCCCCTCTGACCTCCAGTGAGGGGAGAGGGGCTGGGAATTGAGTTTAATCGTGAATGGCCAATGATTTTATCAATCACACCTCTATAATGAAACCTCCATAAAAAACCCCTAAAGTACAGGGTTCAGAGAGCTTCTGGGTTGGTGAATAGGTGGAGGTGCTGGGAGAGTGCTGTGCCCAGAGAGGGCCTGGGAGCTCCACATCCTTCCCCCGCATACCTTGCCCTTTGCATCTCTTCCATCTAGCTGTTCCTGAGTTATATCCTTTATAATAAACTGGTAATCTGGTAAGAAAACGTTTCCTGAGTTCCGTGAGCTGCTCTAGCAAAGCAATCCAATCCGAGAGTGGGTCTTGGAAACCTCCAATTTGCAGCCAATCAATCAGAAGCACAGGTAACAACCTGGGCTTGCAACTGGCATCTGAAGTGGGGGGCAGTCTTGTGGAACTGAGCCCTTAACCTGTGGGATCTGATGCTAACTCCAGGTAGACAGTGTCAGACCGAATTGAATTGCAAGACATCCATTGGTGTCACAGAACTGTTGCATGTGGGGGAAAAAAACCCACATATCTGGTGTCAGAAGTGAAATATTCTGAGTAGAGTGTTGTAACAGAGAAAAACAAGAGTTTTTCATTTATACATCCTCTCAGAGCAGTGGTTCAAACAGCAGCTATCTCCTAAAATGGTTTCTTCTCCCAGCTCCCTGTGTACTTATGCACTGAAAACATGCCTACCCTCAAGAATATTAAGGTTAATATTAGGGTTACCTCTGCATGGTGAGATCATGGTTAATTTTTATGGGTTTGTTTGTTTTACTGTTTGTTTGGGGTTTGTTTTGCTTATCTGTTTCTACAATTAACAAATGAAACCATTCAAGACAAGAGAAAAGGACAGAGCCTGCTGCTTCTGTACCTTTTAGCAAGAAACACAAAACTCTTCCCCAGGACTTCTCTGGTGGCGCAGTGGTTAAGAATCCACCTGCCAGTGCAGGGAACATGGGTTCAAGCCCTGGTCTGGGAAGATCCCACATGCCGCGGAGCAACTAAGCCCGTGCACCACAACTACTGAGCCTGCGCTCTAGAGCCGCGAGCCACAACTACTGAGCCCACGCACTATAACTACTGAAGCCCACGCGCCTAGAGTCCGTGCTCTGAGACAAGAGAAGCACGATGAGACGCACACGCTTCTGCAATGAGAAGCACATGAACCACAACGAAGAGTAGCCCCCGCTCGCCGCAACTAGAGAAAGCCTGCACGCAGCAACAAAGACCCACACAGCCAAAAAAAAACCAACAAAAAAACTCTTCCCCAAAGCCTTCTAACACTGCCCCCTCCCCCCTCCCCCCTCCCCCCTCTTAAACCTAAACCCCATTGGCCAGACTGTGTCACATGACCACAGCTCCACGTGAGGAGGTGTAGTATTGTATTCTGGTTTTCCAGCCTCAGCAACCTTGGTAGAAGAGAGAGGGGTTGGGAATAATTATCAGGCTAAGCAGCCAACAGTGTCAGCAACAGAAGTAGGACACACAGCGAAGAAAGAGGGGATTGTGCAGAGTTTTTCCCAGCCTGGGGTGGGTATTACCATTTTGCTGTGTGACCCTGGGTGTCCAGAAGAGACTCCTGATATTAAAAGTTAGTTAGAGCTCTGGGTTCTGGTTAAGACTTATCTCAGGCATCAAAATGAACCTTTCCCTGTCCTCATTAGTACTTTGTAGCAGTAGTAATTATTATTATGTTTTCAAATTTCAATAATTTATTTCATCTGACCCAGTATATCCAAAACACTATGATTTCAACATGTAACCAAGAGAAAAGTTATTGAGGAGACATTTTACATTTTCTTTTTTCATGCTCAGGCGCCGATATCTGGTGTGCACTTTACAGCACGTCTCAATTTGGATTAGCCACATTTCAAGTGTTCAATAGCCACATGTGGCTAGTGGCTGCCAAACTGGACAGCGCAGCAAGCTCTAAAGAGAGCTGATCTAGAGTTAGAGGGAGCTCTAAAAAGATTTTGATCTAGAGTTAGAGAGCTCTAGAGTATTAGCAATAGTAGTTATTATTACTATTTACAAAGTGCTTTTTTTCTTTTAGTAGAGTATTGCTATCTTTGTATTACAGTTGAAAAAGTAAACTCAAGGAGGTTAATACTGGTAACAAATTTACATTTAAAAGGGCACTGACTCTTTCCCTGAGGCTGCCCAGCAGTGCAGAGGTGGAGACTCAGGTACATGTAAGATTTCACTCCACCTGCTGAACACTAAATCAACCTAATTAAGGTTGATGACACCGAGAAACTAGGGCAATGGGTAGGCCTCTGAAAAACTGACAGAGAGGAAAACTTGGCAAAGTGGTTGGTTGCAGTTGTGGGGTGGTTAAGGACTGTGGTATCATCAAGGAGTACTTCAAATGCAAAAATGAACAAATAAAAAACTTGGCTCTAGTTAAACATATATATTAATTGAATAATTAATTAAAGGATACCTGATCCTCATTCCCTTCAGCACCTGCTATTGAAGGACTGTTGACTCTTGGGCCTGATAAACACAGGAAGTGATCCTTCTGTCCTAAACATGCTTCTCAGCTCCCAGCTAAAGGCACACTCTGCGCAGCTGGTTAACTCTTCTTGTCTCGGATGGCTTATTCTAGAATCATGTCTCTGGTGTGCTGGAGAAAGACTTCTGAGCTGGGGCTTAGACCTGGTTTAGCATCTCTCTCATTGCCTGACATGGGCAAATCTCCATGCTCTGTCTGGATCTGCTTTGCCCACAGTCATATTAACAGCACTTTTTTTTCTCTCTCTGTTAGTCTGTGTCTATGAAAGTGCTTTGAAAGGTAAAGAATACTCTCTCTATGCGGGTATGTATGATGTGCTCACATTCCTGTATTGTCCCCACCTCCTCCCTTCTTTCTTTCCAGAAAGTGATGTCAGTATCCAGCCCTGTGCTGACAGATTCTCAGACCACCATCAATTAGGTTGCAGAGGAGCAAGCCAGATGAGGCTGTTCTGCTCAGACCCTGGTTCACTGTGTATTGTTTAGAGAAGAATCTTGTAAACATTTGTATTCTGCATAACTGCTAGTATTTCTTATTCTGGGCTCTTTATTTTAAAGAACTGAAAAGACTGTGCCTGCGTTGTAGGTAAGAGTTCAGAAGTGCATACCAGCATCATTCTGGGCTGGGCTGGCAGACACTGCTAGCGGCTTTTCCAATATCCATCCTCCCCTTCTTTCTTACCAACAGAACCCTAATTTTTCTCAAGGCAGTACTATGTCCAATTAAAAAGGCTCACCTTCCCAACTCCCTTGCAGTTGGGAGTAGCCATGTGACCCAGTTCTGGCCAATGACATGTAGGGGGAAGTCCCTAGATGGGGGCCTCCAGGAACCTTTTTTACAGGGAAAAGTCTTAGCTGGCATTTCCCTTTGCTTTTTCCTTTTTTACTTGAAATGCATCCATCTTGTCTCCATAAACACAAGAGCCACATGCTAAAGATAGGAAAGTAGGAAGATAAAAATGTCTGCAAGTTCTTGGCAATCTTAGGGAGCAACCTACCTGCTGATTTCTTATGTAAAAATAACTAATCAATTAAACAAACATACAAAAAGCCTATTTGGTTAATCCATTGTAATCAAGTTACTGCTCCATGCAATCAAACGCATTCTTAACTAATGGACTGCTAAGATGTTTAATGTGCTCTGACAGAAAATGGATGCAAATCCACTGTAGAGTCCTTTAGAGCAGTGCTGATCAAGCTTTCCTGTGCATAGACACCACCTGGAGAGCTTGTTGAAAATGCAGATTCTGATTCAGTAGGTCTGGATTGGAGTCTGAGATTCTGCACTTCTCACAAGCTTGCAGCTAATGCTGATGACGTCAGTCCTGGACGACTCTGAGTAGCGAGGATTTAGAAAATGACAGCTTTTTTGTCAGGCGGCTTCTATGTTGAGCTATTCTGGTTTTCTTTGATATGCTTATTATTCAGTTAAAACTCTGCAGAGGACTCAATGCGTTTTCAACAAGATGTTAAGGTTTTATTTAGAAAATCATTTTAGAGACACAACACCGTTCATTTTGTTTAGCAAAATGAATTTAACAAATGCATTTAAATAAGGTAAATTTAAGACTTCTGTGGATTTTTTTTCCTTAGTTACTTGATTTTCTGCCAGTGGAAGTTTCTGTCTTCCAGCCTGAGTGCTTTTCAAGTTAATTCAGCTATAATCCAAGGAACTGCTTTATGGAATCTGAATAACTCAAATTCCCTCTGTATTCTCACTCAATCTCAATGTAGTAAATGAAACACAAGGAAAATGACTTAGGGAAGTAGAATTAGAAGGAAATGTTTCTCCCTCTTGGTCATGTTATCTTTTCAACAGAGGCCTTGTCCGCTCTGAAATGGATGGTGAAAGTAAATTGTTACTGGGAGGTGATGGTCAAAAAGAAAACTTAGATGGTTTTCACACCATCTGTCATCATGACCCAAAGGAAATGCAAGCCACACCGCTTCCAGCCAAGCCACTGCTTTACACAGAAGCTGCCCATAGCTTCCTATTGTTATTTTCTTTTCTAGTTATATACATTAAAAAAAAAAATACAACGTTGTGTTAAATAGGAGGACAGCTAACAGAGGAGCATATGACACTACACTGAAAAACCAAAAGAGCTTGATTAAGTCAAGGAGAGAAACAGCAGATGGTCTTCATGGAGGGAAGCCGCCAATGACCACCATCTCCTCAGTCTGTGACGGATCTGCACTCTGAGGGTAGGCCTTCTGACAGCCGCCACTGGGCCAGGCGCTGCTTGAACCATTTCTGGAGGAGGGAAATGTGCAAAATTACCTGTCACATACTGAAAAACTGAAATGTCCATTCCCTTTCTAAAAGTAGCTTCTGTGGCCCAGCTGGAAAAGAGGAAAGCAAGAACTGAGTCCCTGGGGATGGTTCGTCTCATTGTGATACTTATATTTCTGCCTCAGGACCTTTGTACATACTGTTTTCTATGCTTAGAATATCTGACCTTCATTATTTATCTGATGATAAATAATTCTCAGGGCTCAGCTTAAATAGAACCTTCTCAATAAGGCCTTCCCTAGCCATTTCATCTAAAGTAGATTCTCCATCCATCTCCTATTCTCTGTGTTAATACTTTGTTACCTTCACAGAACTTTTAATATCTGTAATTAATTTATTTGTGTATTCACTTGTTTTTAATCTACATTTCCTTCTAGAATATGAGATCCATGAAAGCAGAGTCTGCATCCATCTTATCATCATTAGCCCCTAGCATAAGGGCTTAACAGAGATTAATAAATGTTTGTTGAATGAATAAAAGAAATTGAAGCATCTCCTTGATGCCCCAGATAAATCTGTATGGCTGCTATACCTCATCAATGTGTGATGATCTCAAGGGCCTTGGTCATCAGTAGCACTTAGTAAGAATTTGTTGAATAAAATGAATGAAAAACTAAGCACTGAACAACCTTGGGGCACTCCTTTCTGAGGATCCATGGAGCAGTCTAGACCAATCGTTCCTGCTCCAGGGCCACTGAACAGTGAGAAAAGAGCAAGTGGGATTCCCAGTTTACTCAAAATCTTCTAGCTCTGTGTGACCCAAATATTCACACCTCGCAAAAGTGACCATGGATTTAGGAAAAGCCCCAGATGGGATACTTCTAGACAAGGTACCATGTGAGGGCTAAAACATATTTTATGCACTTTAAAATGCATATAAAGGCATATAGATCTGCCTTTATTATACCCCTGAAGGGTGGGGGATTCTGCAAAGTGGAGATAAGGAGACATGCTGGGAAATAGTCTGGGGTATGAACCAGGTTGGCCAGGAGGAATCTGGATTTTTAAACAACAACATTGAAGAGGCAATAGTGAAGAAATAGAAGCAGCAAGTATTAATCCACATGGGAGAGGATGAGTAGAGGGCTCTGTGGGAAGGCAGGACCCCCAGGCTTTATTCTCCTGTGCTTCCCAACCTTTCACACATCATGGCACACTTTGAGAATGAAGACGTTTTCATGTCATACTGCTTGGGTAGGTGACCACTGGGGGCTCTGCAGTCCTGGGCCCTGCCAACAGGAAGCTCTGTTGTAACCAACTGGCTCAGAACTTGAGGAAGTTAGAGCGCCAGTCAGCTCAACTGTAAATGAAGAGGTAAACTTAGAGGCTATCTACTGTCCCTTGTAGTGTTTCTAAAATTTACCTGTTCTAGGGGTCAGTAGATGAGGGGACAGAAAGGAAGCAAAAAGAACACAGTTGTGGGATGGGTGCCAGACCTGGAATGTGCTGATGGAGATGGTATGGTGAGAAACACCTAGAGGGCTCTGACTTGGCACAGCCAGATGCAGATTCAACCTCTGAACAAACAGGGTGGGCTCTAGGGCCATGCGTGGGAAGACCTCATCTCTGTGGAGATCTAGGGAACCAAAAGGCATTTCAGCATAAGCCCAAGATGAGAAGAAAGGGAGAGAACCACAGGGGAAGGAGTGCTTCTAAGGCTCAAGGTCTGTAGAGCTAGAAGGGAGCGAGCCCACAGCACGTCCTAGGGGTCTGCACCAATGCTCACCTGGCTGAACAGCAAGGGACCACGCCTACAACTCTCCCTAACTGTTCAACAGTTTACACACTGAAGTGCCTAACACCTGTCAAGATCAGTTGTCTTATATACCTTTGTACTGTGGGGTGGCAGCAGAGAAAAGTAATCTAAAGCCAAGGGCAGCAGACTACTCGTAGGGAAGCCTTCTCTTTGGGGGTTGCTCTCTGGGTGCCATAGTTCACTCCTGGGGATCTCCAACCTTAAGGAGAATAGAGAGCTCATGTAGCTTTGGTGGCTTTAACCAGCATTCTACTGCTAGAGGTGGGCATATTTGCTTCTGTGATCCATGTGTGTATTTAGTTAACTCTGGAATCTGGTGTGAGAGCAGCATAGTTCCAGTTTCATTAATGAGGTAGCTCTGCAGGGGTTTCAAGGCTTCAAGGTCTGATTAAACAGAATTTGCAGTTTCTAGAGCTGAATAAATGGCAGAGTTTTACAGACTGACTAATTAAAGCTTGGAGGGGGAAAGGCTCATTTTCTATCAGGATTCATTTAAGACAGAATGATTGAGCTGGCTTCATTCAGAAGAGCCACCCACACCTTTATACTAGTAATGAAGCAAAATATTAACATACAGTTACTGAAAATAACTTCAGCAATGACCAAATCTGCGAATCGGTGAGTTGGCATCCAAATGATTAATAAATTGCACCCTAGCATTGGGGGATGGGGGGAGGTTCAAGAAAAGCTCAACTGTTTTCCACAGATATATATTTTTTAAATCACATATGTATATAATAATTTAGCAAACCAGTTGCTCTCCAACAAAAGTCATTAAACACCTTGTTTGCTTTTTTCACCTCCAGAGCTGAATCTTATCACATCTCACTCACACCAATACTAATTTTCCACCTGGCTCTCTCCTTCTCTTCTTTGTTTCAGTCATCCCCTGGGAAAGACATTCATCCCTTGCTTGCTTATGAATGGATGCCCTCATTAGCCTTGCCCATTGATGGAGATTTATTTACTCTGAGAGAACAGATGATAATTAGACACTGTGATGGGGAAGGGGTGAGGCAAAATAATATTGTTCCTGTCCTTTTCTCTAGTAACTAACATTTCATTCTTTTTAGGAGGAGACCTTTAGAGGTCTTTATTCCACTGATAAGACATCTAACAACTAAAACCAGGGTTCTAGGAAGAGTCCCAGGACATCAAGAGGGGATAAAAATCCTGGAAACCAATCTAAGAACCAATGCCAACTACACTGGGATTGAATCAGTGATAATAGAAAATGGGAGATCATTCTAACCTCCCAAGGGGCTGATAAGAGCTTTCCCAGCCCCTTCTCACACTGACTTCAGAATAATGAAAGACACAGGGGTCGGGATTCTGTAAGGTTTCTCTAATTTAAATATAGGAGATATCTAATTACTGTCCTGAGAAAAAAACCCATTCTAGGACCCCGGCAAATGCACCTTAAAAAGTTATTTGCATTAGAGCATCCTTCACTTCATTTTGGGTTCCTCTAGGTGTCCCTCCCCCCCTACCACCACCCCAAGTAAAGAACATTGTCCTACAGTGGGACAGTTATAAAGAGGTCAAAGGCCCCAGTCAGAGAATATTTCAGCATTTTAGTCCCTCTTGCCTTTGCCAAAGTATCAGCAGTGTGAATCAGCTTGAGTTAACTATCTCATAGGACCATCACATGCTTATTTTTCTTCTCCTAGTGTTACTTGTTCTAGGAAAATGAATACGAATCCAATTCTGGAAGTGGGTGGTATTAGGCATAAGGGACCAAGCATATGAAATAAATATTATTTTGGCTTTGATGACCTTTTCTCATGGAAAAGGGCAATGCTAACAAATAGAAGAAACAGGGGAAGTGCTGATACCAGACACTGCTTATGTTTAGGCCCAACAAACCTGGCCTCCATCAGTTATTTAAAGGGTCCCTACAGGGAAACCATTCTCACCCACCAGTAACATGGGGGTGAGAGGGTTGGGAAGGGGTTACGGGGATGGGAGGGAACGATGGGAAGTTGGAAGATGAGATCCAATCTGGTAAGGGATGACGGAGGGCTACCTAGGAAGCCTCTTTCCCTGAAACTGCTAAATTTTGCCTCTCTCTGAGCTCTTGGGTCTCAGATGCTTCCCTGTGGTTGATGCCGGAAGACAGAGGGGAAAGCTGAGCCGTGGCAATCTCAGGGAGGAAGAAGGTGTTAGCCTCATGTCAGGAAAAGGAAGCAAGGAGCCCTGCTATGAGGCTGACTCATTCCCCCGAATGCTTACTTCCGGGCTGAGTCTACCATTTACTCATTTGAGGATGGGAGAAGTGGGGGTGGGGGGATGGGAGAAGGGCTGCCTGAAAGGGGCAGAGGAACCTGCTCTGTAGGGGTCTGAACTGGCTGACCTCAGTTATAGAAGGGTGCCCTCTCTTTCTTCCTGCCCCCAACCTGATCTCAGTTCAGTTCTCTCATATAAGGTGAATCTTGAGGAAAGATTGAATATAGCCTGAGATGACTGTCATTTACTGCATGGATTTTTTTTCAGGAAGAAATAGAACATAAATTGAATTTTCAGTGCTTCCCTCCCACCCCACCCAGTTGTTTCCATTCCTTTTCTGTGGAGACAAAACAGCATGGTAGTTAAGCATCTGGGCCAGGGGGCCAGACTGCCAGGGTTCAGATCCCAGCGCTGCTACTCCCCAGTGGTGGTCTTCAGCAAGTTATTTAAACTTTCTGTACAGTGGGGCCAAGAGTGCCCATCTCATAGCATTGTTGTGGCAAATAAATGATTTAGTACTCGGAGAGTACCTGGAGCAATAGGCGGCAAGTGTCATCTGTTACAAAGGCCAGCATAACCATTCTGCTTTACAGGTGAGGGAATGACAGTCACTTGCCAAGGGAGAATCAGGCTAATATGGGGCCCATGGTAAACCCACAGCCTTAAAGCTGAGTTACTGTCTCTGTGATCACTCCTCTTTTCTAAATATAGTGTGGGATTGTAAATGACAACAGTTCAGCAGGCTGCCTCCTGGGGAGAGCTGGGGTTCTGAGAAACATGAGCTGTTAAGCTTGGGTTACAGTACATCACCTTCCATTAAGTTCTGGTTCTGGCTAGCTAGATATCTGTTCCCTTTGCAGAAGACTGACATGCTGGACTTTCTGTTTGACCTAGGAGAGGGAGGATTTTCTATGGGCAAGTTCTCCAAAGGCTTAATTAGTAAAAAATCATTTTGGGCTTGGGATCCAAAATGGATCTTGGGGTCTTGGTTCTAGGATTCACTGGAGCGCCCATTACAAGCTTTTAAGCTTCAGCTAAGTATGATTCATGGTGAGGAGAGAACAAGATGTCTGAATGCTCTGGTCTATACGTTGGGAAGAATAAGAAAGTCTCTGCTTTAGACCTGCGACTAGAGGTGTGAATTGCTTTGGGCTCCCATGGGAGAGGTGCTAGAGGAGTTCCAAGTGGTATCATCATGCAGAACTAATTGTCTTTCCATGACCAAAGGGGAAATAGAAGAGTTTAGACAGGGGTTTAAAAAAAAACAAAAAAAAAAGTCAGTTGAAGGAGCCAATACTGCACCTACTGTACCTAGTGGTTAAAAATCATGGGCAGTGTTGCATTCTCTACCCTAAACAATTTTCAGGATAATAGAGGAGATTTTAAAATAGATAAATAAATCAATGCACTTATGGTGACATCTTTTTCCAGTTCCTTCAGTTGTAATGTCAGATGTCTACCTTCTCAGAAAACTCCAGAAAAGGACCCTAAACCTTAGAGCCGTGGAATTTTTAAAAACCGGAACCAAATCTCCCTGGCTCCGTGCAATTTTAGCTCTGCAGCTAACCGGAAGCTGCAGCGCGATGTGAGGCAAAGAGCATGCTTAACGACCTGTGCCATCACAGCAAGTCTCTCCCTCTAAACCTCAGTTTCCTCGTTTACCAAACCTGAGGACTGAATTTATAGCTGATCACTAAGATCCCTTCCAGCTCTGACACTCCCTCTGAGAATAGATTTGAGGGCGCTGGGCTCAGAGGGCGCACACTGCACCTCTCCTAAAGGTTTCGCTTCCAGCCCAGAGGAGAAAATAAACCCGGGAAATCGAGACAAAAGTGGGCCAAGGGACGCTGCTCCCAGGCCAGAGGGAGGAGAGAGCGTTTATCCCGTGCTGTAGGGGAGAGTGGAAAAGCAAGGAGAAGGGAGGGTGGGCGTGGGGCTTCTAAGCAGCTCCCGCGGGAGCCACCGGGCTGGGGTGGAGGGACAGACCTGGCGCCCGTGGAGCTGGGGAGCTGGGATGCTGCTGTGGGAGCGATACAGGTCTGGGCTCCCGGGGTACGGGCAGAAGCGACGAAAGAGCCGGGGGAAGGAGGCCAAGCAGGAGCCGAGGGCAAGGGCGACCCCCACCTTCTCGAGATCTCCCAGGCGAGGGTGGGCACGCCGGGTCCCCGCGGGCAGGAGACGGGCGCGCGAGGGGGCTTACCTGGGTCTCCTCCTCGGAAAGGCCGGCCTCGGCCGCGATCAGGCACAGCGTGGTGGGGTCCGGGTGCTTGTTGACCTTGTTGAAGTTGTACTCCAGGATCTCCACCTGGTCCTCAGTGGGGCCGCTCGCGGTCTCCGCAGACATGGTCCCGACACGGCTGCGGGAGAGGGAGAAGCGGCGGGGTGAGCGAGGCCCCGGGCGGGCGGGCGGGACGCAGGGAGGAACGGCGATCCCGAGCGCTGCCGGGCACCTTCAGCCCCCGGGGCTATCCCCGCCCGCGGTCGCACGGCGCACGGGTCCCCGGCGCTGCAGGCTGCTGCGGGAGCCTGCCCGGGCTCCTTCCAGGGGCGCGCACCTAGGGGTCCCGCCGCTGAGCTGCGCGTCCTTGGGCTGCGCTCCTGCCCCGAATTTTTACAAGTTTCCCCGGGCTCAGTGGTCTGGGGTGGTGGGAAGAAGCTGACGCCGCGCCCTCCCGGCCGTGAGCCTTTAAGGAAGGAGTGGAGGAAGCGCGGCGGTGATTTTGAAAAGCCGTCTTCAAAGCTTCCTCCTGGGAGAAGGAGCTGCCCTGGGTACAGTCCTGACAGATGGCGTGACTGGGCTGCCCCGAGTCCGCGGCGGGGACGCCTCACCCGTGCGCGCGCTGCCGCCTCTAAAGCAGTTTAGCACTTTGCAGCCCTCGCCAGGGAGGGCTGCACACCCCTACACCTCCTTCAGGGAAATGACCCACAGGACAGAAGTTACTTCTCAAAGTTGGGGAAATCGGGGGGCGCTTTTAATCTCTTCCTTTTACAGAGGTGAAGGTAGGTCCGCAGTGATTTACCCCTGCAGTTCCTAAGGCCGGGAACAGCGTAAGGAGAAAGTTCCACCTGAGGGCTTGTGTGAGTCACTCTACGATCTGCAACCTCCTTCTCCTTCCCTTCACCCCCGATTTTTCTAACTAAAGCCATGAGTCAGAGGCCTCCAGTCAACCCGGCTGTTCACTTCCCAGCGTGGCCTGGACATTGTTCCACAGGGTCCACCAGAGTCCACTGCACTATGTTCCTCCCTAGATGAGGCCTTCCAAGATAGAGCCAAAACCCAACTGAGGAGGATGTACAGCAGCTGTCTTTGAAATCAGACATCCCCTCTAATTGTGTTAAAATTAACTGTAAAGTCAAGAGAATTGGTCGGTTACCAGCTTCAAGGTCTCTTGTATTTCCTTACTTTAGAGCCAAACGTTACTCTAGCAGATCGGGGGCAACATGACTTCCTGCTACATCTCTCATACCTAAGTAGCCTCTGAAATGGGACCCAAAAAATGGCAGATGTGCACCCCTCCCCTCCCCCCAATTTTAGATGTATTGAGGTATAGGAAGTTAGACTCTAACTTCTAACTATAGAAGTTAGAGTCTATCTTCAAGTTCTTGGCTGAGCACTTGGGACAGACAGGTCAGCACTTGCCATTGCTGACAGTAAAAGACAAGCACAAGTGTGGGAATCCCGTTGGTTTGTTGTTTTAACAAACAGTTGCACAATCATCCAGCACAATCCTGAGTAGGTTTTGCTGTGGTCTGTGCCTGGGGATGAGCCATACTCCACTGATCTGCCTGCATAATGTCCCCGATGCTGTGACAACCTTCTCAACCAGGACCTGCATCCTGGGCTCCCTGAATAAATGTCTTTCCCTCTCCTCTTGGTCACCTGAAGAGGCTTCTCAGGTGAGACAAGAAGCCATTCTACTGTGAGAGATTCTGGGCTTAAGCCAGTTGTCAGGTCATAGTGAAATCTTCGTGATTTTAGGGAGGTCTGTGCTCCCCCGCTTAATCTGTCCCAGTGATTCCTGTCACAGTGCTGAGGAAGGATGGGGTCAAGCCAGGTGGTAAATGCCTCTTCTCCTGTTGGCACCATCTCCCCCTTTCTCTGACACAGAACTTCAGAGCTGGAAAGAACCTTGGTGACCAGCAACCTAGAATGGAAAACCTTGGCTTCAGTTTCAGTGCTGTGCTCTTCTAGACCCTTCTCAGCGGGCTATTCTGTCTTTGGTTTGGCAGAAAAAAATCAGGAGGGCAACCGTGTAAATGCAGGCAGGGGCTTGTTGCTGTTTTGAATGGGCTTTGACTGCCCTTGTAGGACACCAATTCCAGCCAAAGCTGCCCACTGGAACCACCCACCACTGCGCATTTTGCCTGAAAAAACACAGGAGAGGGGAAACTGCTGCCTCTGATTTAATTCCTTGCCCTAGAAAGGTTCCATCTAATTCCAGTTACACAGTTATGCTGGCTCTTCCAGGAAAATTTTTGCTGCTGCTTTGTAGACTCCCCAGTCCTTCAGAAGTGTTCATCAAATGTACAGATTTCTAAACTGGACTCAGATTCAAGGACTGTTCTGCATGTACTTCTTTCCCTCTTTTGGTTTTTTAATTGCTATTATATAATCCATGGGTGACTCATGTTCTTACATTTAATCAGGTGCATTTTCTCTTACATTTTTGTGGCTCTCTGTTACAGGACTTTGTACGAGGTTTCATGGATAGGTCCACTTGACTTTAAAGTACTCCTTGGGTTAGTTGGCTGAGGGCCATTGGACTTGGTTGGCTGCTAAGGAGACTTGTGGAAGGACAATTTGAAAGTACCTACTTCTCTAAGGTACACTAAACAAACAAACTTGACTTCTAGAAATGAGGATGGAAGATCTAACCATGATAGAGATATCTGCCTGTCATTTCTCCACAAAACTCAGTCTCTGTTATTTCAGCCCTCTTTGGTTGACATGTGTTTGCTGCTGCTTCTCCGTTTCTTCCCTCCCTCTCTTTCTTTCAAAGGAAACTTATAAATCAAATCACCCTAGTAACCTTGGCCTTATAAAACTTCTCAACTCTTTCCAGTAAGGAAACTGTTGAAAAGTATCTCTGAAGGTAGTCTAAACAATGTCAGATGAAAAGAACTAGAAATATTTTAAAGCTTCTTAAACTTTAATCTGAGCACAAGTTCTATTGTTGCTGTAGTTATTAATATGAAACATTCAAAGAGTAATTTGTCCTGTGGTTGTGTTTTCTTTTGTGATTGGGGGAAGACAATGCATAAACCTTTTCAAGAGATTAGATGAAAACTGCTGGCTTTTTTCTAAATTCCAGTGCCTGGGTAGACAATGTGTGCCAATAAGACAGCTTTACCTTTGTCCCCTAATCCTGTAGTCATTTATTTTAAAAGTATCTACCTATATGAACCAGCTCATGGAGAGTGCTACAAACTGGAACCTGCAGAACTCTCTTTAGGGTCACATTTACCATCTTCTCCTCCCCAACCCAGCCATTCTGACCTCTTTGTAATGCCGCTAATCCTAAACCGAGAGAAGAAGATTATCAGTGGCAGATACTCCTCATAAACAATCCCATGGTGAGCTGACCAAAAGCAAAGAAAGCAGATGGATCATTCTTTAGGGTTGTCTCCCAATTTACTTTAGCCTGAATCTCCTTTATGCTCACGGTGGACTTTCTGGAAGCAGTGGGCTCTTGAAGTATTCTGTGTTTTCTTAAGTGAGAAAAATTATGTACCACCATTTCCCCAAGAGAAGCGGTGGGTCTTTGGAAGTGGATAGGGTTTCCTCACTTGTCACTTACTGAACGACTCTGGATGGGGTTTGAGGGGGGGATCACCCAAGCTGTCAGTGTTTCTCAGAAATTGACAGATGGGAGTGGAATACTGATCTGCTTCCCCGGGTTAACAACAAGGCTGGTTTTCAAAGAAAGGATTTTTTTGTTTTTGTTTGTTCTTTAAATATGAACCTGGTGGTTAATATCCTGAAGCTTAGGATAGTTCTCATGCCTGGCTGGGCCTCAGAATCACCTGCAGAAATGTGCAGGCACACTGCTGACCTCCTGAACCAAAACCACATTGTAGGAATCCAGCATGGGAGAGACACAAAAAGTGTCTCAGCTCTCACAAGAGTTTGCAACTTAATCATTAAAATCAACTGTAAATGTTTAGAGCTTCTTATACCTTATACCATTAAGATGCTTTAAAATACCTTCTAACTCTGATGCTGTATATCATCTCAACGCTTGAGTAGACAGTATGTTGAGGTAGTTTTAAAAGAATAAGCTTTTAAAAATATACATTGGAGAGGAAATTTAGATGTTATGCTATTTACCTTTTGTATATATGGTCAGGAATGGGGAAATTGTCTTTAAAATTATGAATTGTTAAGAGAAATTTCCCCATGCTTTCAAAATTTCAGAAATAATATAAAACTCTTTAAATTTTTTTTTTCATAAAAACCCATTCTTTTGTTGAGATCAGAGTTTAAGAAAGCAGGTCATCAAAAGAAAAAATCCTTCCACCTTGTCATACAAATTTTCATAATTGATTTAGAAGCCAAAAATTACAGTGGAAGAGATTTGCCAACCTTGACAAATGATTGTCCTCTAAATTCTTAAATTTTCCAGTGAGGGAAATGCTAAAGTTGAAGTTATGATCTATATAGACAATTTATATAATACAACTTAAAACTGAACATTAGATTATGAATGCACCATATACACATAGTATCATTGCCGTCTTCAGAGAAACAAGATTCCAAATTTAAATAGGAAAAAACATTTTTTAATGGTCTATTGATTCCAGTTTTACATATTAAAAAAACTGGAGGAAAATACAACAAAATGTTAACAGTGTTTATAGCTACACAGTGAGACTACAGGTGACCTAAAATTTTTCTTCTTTTATTGTTCTGTTTTTTCACATTTACTACCCTGAAATTAGAAATTAAAATTTTTTTCTTAAAAAATTATTCCTTTTTTAGATTAGTTCCATCACATATGTATGGATCCCTAAAAGACCTTTTCTTTTAGTTTTTGTATTTTTGAGATACATAAAAACATCATACTATATGTAATTCTTTTGTTACTGCTTTGTTCATCAACATGTTTCCAAGATTCATTCATATCTCAGCATACAGAGAACTTCATTCATATTCTGTGCTATTTCCATTTAGTGAATGTACTGCAATGTATTTATGTCTTTTCCTGTTGGTGGATATTTGGGTTGTTTCCAGTGTTTTGCTATTATGAACAATTTTCTCTGAACATTTTTGTATATATCCTCTGAAGCACATCTAGGAAGGCTTCTCTAGGAGTGGAACTGGTCATAACGTATGTGACTAGTAGCTTTACAACATTATACCAACTTCTTTTCCAAAATTGTTGAACAAAACTATACTCCTATCAGCAGTATATAGCATTTCCTTTGCTCTACATACTCATCAACACTTGGATTGTCAAACTTCTGAATTTTTTCCCAAAATTGTTATGTATTCTTTTTGTCCATGAATAATATTTAAACCTACTTGAAGCTATTTTTGTTTCCATCCTGATTAACTTCTTGAGGCTAAAAGGTTCCATATGTTTACTATTTACTGTAAAAACGTATTTCCTGTTCCAGCCCAGAAGGAGATTTGAGGTGTTTTTGGAGGGTTTAGACTCTGTCTCCAGGCTAGCTTGTTATCTCCACTGGTCACCAAGAGCCATACGGAAGATATATGGAAAACTATATAGCAGATCTTTTGTCTGTATAATGCTAAAGATGTTACTATCTTCCCTTCTACAGAGCTCCTGGGATCAGGACTTAACTCTGCACTTAAAAACTGC